GAAAAGGAACCCCTTCGCACGTAAATGTACTGGAAGCAGAGGGAAGGATACCCATACGGGAACTATCGGAGTCTCTTGCTTAGGTGTAAAGTCACATGTCCACTTAAGGACTCTCATCGGACAACCATCAATATACCATGAAGGTTTAAGAAAAAGCCTGCTGTAATCCTCCTCATGTGTAAGGTGTATAAGAATGTGTGTTGTGTCAATCAGTCCCACCTCGAAACAACCATGGAACCCAAACTTAGAAAAAATCTCACGTACCTTCCTCATGATTGGCTTGCGATGTGGAAATTTTCCCACAAGTGTATACTTGTAAGGATCAGCGAGTGTAGCCTCCTCGGACTCAGTCAAAAATATTGCCGGCTCACCCATATGTATAAAGGGTTCTTTAGCAGCAAACCCAGCAGTGGAAGAGTCATCTATACCCTGTACAACCGATGCAAACGACTTCCGTGAACTCCGTTCAGCTTGAGACAGGCCCGGACGGCTAGAAACTGCAGTAGCATATGTCTTTCGGCCCTGATTGAGCACTGTCTGGGCCTCATGTGGAAAAACCGATGATGAAAATGGATTCAAATTAATTGGAAGAACATTCTGATCAAAAGTTGCCGGATGGCCGCCGGGACGCCGCGGCCGGCCGCTAGCGGCTCCGTTTTCCGGCCAAAATCAACCGGAGGCAGAAATTTATGATTTTCAACAATCTTGTGCGGAATTTCATGCTGAATAACGCGGTCAGGCGCATTTCTCGAGGTGAGAACCGTAGAGGCCGAAAATTTCAATTTTTTGACAAACTGCCCGTTTACGTTTGGTTCCGTAACAGGAGCGTCCGACCTCCGATTGCCGTGATTTTTTGACCGAAGGTTTACCATCTCATGGGTATTCTGAATATCTGGTGCGTGTATCTGTTGGACCATCGTACGAGAATTAATTTCAAAATCAGTTTCGGGCTGTACTTTTTCCAATGCTTCAATTCCGGCCAAATTGGACGTCGAGGACACCACCCTAGGGGTTTTTGGGCCTTCTGAGTTCATTGGTGATGGTCCCATGTCCACATTCTGATCAGAAGTGGTTGTTTCGAAGACCTTGGGATTCGTGCCATGATTTTTCAAACTTAGATCTATTGCGTTGGGGGATGAATCTGATATTGGTGTTATAGGATGTGTTTGGGTCGTTGTTGGTGATGATTTTCCACCACTTGGGGTGGTGCAATCCGGTGGTTTTGGTGGTGGATCGGGTTTATTGGAGTTTTGGTGGGTTTCTCCCATTCTAGAGAGAAGGGAGAGCGTTTTGGAGGTAGAGAGAAAAAGTGTTGGTTGGTTTGGTCTAGGGTTTAGGGTTTAGGGTCTAGGGTCTAGGGTCTAGGGTCTAGGGTTTTAGGGTTTAGGGTTTAGGGTTTTTTTTTTTTTTTTTTTTTTTTTTAAAAAAATCTCCA